GTTGAATCTATGTCTGTGCATAAGATCACAGCAAGGAAATGTAAAGGACGACCCGAAGCATACCATGAGTTCTGCAGACTGTTACATGGAACAAGAGTGGAAGGAAGGCCGTCTTTGGAAGGACACGCCAACAGAGTAGCTAGAAGTCAGAAGGGCTTAAAAGAGGTGCAGAGAGGATAGGACTCAAATAGAGATGTAGTATATGTGTCTAACATACATGACAGGCCACAGAGAATGGTCTGGTTCTGAGTTTGAGCCTGGTAAAAAGCAATCAGAGATGTTGCAAGAGCTGTTTCGGGGAAGCGGGCTGCCTGGAGAGCGGGGAGAGCAGCTCTAAACAGTGCAAACAGCAGGGCTGTAGACATAAAAGGGAGAGAGAAATTGGGTGATGAAAGACCTATTGTTTTTAAATATTTTCTCTGTGGAAGATATGGGCAGGATCTCATGCAGAGAGAAGTAGAGACAAGAAGGCAGCAGCTGTATCGGCTGCTTGTGGGGCTTCAGTTAAATTGACGAGTGTTGTTTATCACCGTTCGTGGGAAAAGAAACAAGAGTTTGCAATGGAAGCCAACTCTGTGCAGGATTTCCACCACACATGCTTCTCAGTGACAGGTGAGAAAGAGGGACAGGAAAAAATCTGGGAATGGGTTTGAAAGGTCTAAAAGCAGATGATAAGTCATCAAAGCTAATGGAGCAGAAAGCATGAAAGGGTCAAGTGGCTGTGAGAGAGAATGAGCTGATTCTGAATGAGAGGAGATGATGGTTTGAGAGGAAGTGGCTATTAAAAAGGAAAAATCAAAGAAAGTATTGCCTGATAAAAGCAGTCAGGGGAAAGGCAGTAATGATGAGAAGTATGAGCCAACTCTGAAATTTGAACAGAGGTATGAGAGCAAAGAAATGTGCACTTAAGGGTTGGTTGGATGTATTATCATAGGAGTTGAAATTGCTAAGGAAGAGTGGGGATGGCTGTAGAAGGACACCAAGAATATTGATACTTCAAATTTAAAAACGGTTAATGGGGAGGACAGGATGTAACTGCAGAATGAAGGGGAAGAGAAGCAGCAGAATAGATGCAGCCTGCTCAAAAGAGAAAGATCACGAGAAGTTGGAGAGTAAAAGCAGAAGAGAGGATTGATCAAATGAAGTTGAGTTGAAATACAGAATATGAAGTAAAGCAAAAAAATATAAGTAGTCATGAAGTGGTAGGATGATACAGTGGTACAAGTTGTCTCCTGGGAGTTTGCACAGCTTCCTTTTCAGGTCACAAAACCACCTCATACAGATACTCAAGACAGGGCACTATTTCTGTGAAGACAGGTGACATGCTGCAGTGTTCTTATGCAACAAATTCACTTTTATAGATCAATATGATGAAAAGTTTCCTTATTGTCATATTGTTATATGTCAAAAAGAAGAAAAAAAAAAGGCCTTGTGACACATCAATCACCAGCTGGCATTTTGAAGAGAAGAACAGAAACAAAATCCATTGTCTGGTGCACATGCAAGGATGATTTCACACAAGTATTGTCAGAACAAGTAATGGTCTGTGTGCATATATTGTGCAGTAGCTTGGGATTTAGGAGCTCTAACGATGAATGGGGAGAATTCCTGGGACTCTATAACAATATTCACATTCATCTGAGTTGTATATGGACTGGAGATTACATCAAAGGAATATACATGGCTTTAGAGGCCATCATACACCAAATACGTCAACTGAATTTGGTCAGAAAACCAATATACCTAAACAACAACCTTTCAAATACATAAAGGGAAGCTACCTGTCTTGTAGCAATCTTGATTTAAGTAAGGAAAGAGTAACGTATTAGCTGCACTCTTCCTTCTAGAAGACAAAGAGGCTTCGAAGATTTTTTAGATTTGCTTTTGTACTTTCAGAAATAATAGATTTTTTACTTTCTCTTTGCTTGGTTGTATGATTTATGACAGGCTTTTCCTGGGATGTTTAACATGTTTTGCCTAATCTCTATTTTAACACCTGCAAAACAGGCTTATGCACCAAAGAACACATGCCAAACATGTTTAAAAGCAACATGTGCAGCCACTGATTCCAATGTAAGGCCATATTTATGTGGAAACATAGAGTGCTAGCTTGTAATTCAGGCAGTACCAAAGGCAGGTTCCAGAATTTGAGTTTTGCGATTCAGCTTAGTTGCCATCACTAAACGAGTTTTGGTTGTGTGAAGAAGTTCAGAACTCTGACACAGCTACGATATTTCTGGAAAATACGACAAAAAATCCTAGTAAACTTTGGACAAAAAGTAAAAATTATAGCATTTTTTAAAGCTCTTTACTGAAACAAACAAGCAAAACCCAGAGCTGGTAGACTGTATCACAGATAAAACTCAGAAACATGTTTAAAAATGACAACTACTTCTAGTGACAGTACTCTTCCTCCCTTTGCGTATTTGCTGTGTCATTATAGTCCCTCTTGAAGATAGGCCATTAATCCTACTTACAGTGAGTGATGGTCATTTTAGCTGTAAGATTTATGGAGGTTATAGCTGCATTTGGGAACATGAGATGAAACGAGAGCTGACTGAGGTTTTTGCATAATGTGAGCACATCAGTCTTTCTTTGAATTAGGATTTTTGAAAGGCTGGTGCTAACAGTGGCCATTAGTTCCAGCCGAGAAGGAGGACTGAAGCTGAAGAGGAGACACAAGAAACGGTGGGGGAATAAATGTCATAAAACAGAGTAATTTAGAGAATAAACAAGGGCTAACATTACTTCAAAGATGATACACAATTTTTATCTAACGAATGCAGGAACTTGTGGAAAATAGATAATTAAAGAGCAATATGACTTCATTGTTTATTTCAACTTAAATCTCAGAGCTCTAACAGAACTAAAGGATGTCTAACTAATAATGGTCTTATTAACTGCATGACCATGTGTTTATTGGGAAGACTGGCATTTTGTGTTGCCCTGAGGGAATCCACCCCAAGCACAGACAGCATATTTTCTTATATAGCCTTGTACTGACCTTAAAAGACACAGTTAATCATCATTTGCAGTACAAGCCTGATTTCATATTATAGATTTAACAATTCATTTTCTCTTTCTCAAAAAAATTCCACCAAAATGCCATGATATTTATTCCTGTATCTCAAATAGTCACAATTGCTGTTACTTCTTGTTGTACCGCTATGTCACTCTTGCCTGATATGCTAAGCTCGGTCTAGTCATCAGGATCCTGCTTTTCCAGTGACGCAGAACAGTCAGTTCTCACAGTGCTCCGGTTATGACTCCAGTTGTAACATGCGAGGCTGTCTCCCGTATTGGTGTCTGTGTTAGTAAGGGTGCTTTCAAACAGCACATCTTTTGACAGTCTGTTTTGTCACCAAGAAGCTGGACAAAGATCAACAACAAATGAGAAGAGACTGAGACAAAAGATAGTTGGTAGAAACAGGCAGGTGTTCTTTATTTCATGTGGCACAGCATTAGGCAGACAACCCAAGAAACAGTTCGTAACAAACACCAAAGCTATCACTCCTAGGAACCATCCCCAAAACAAGGGTCTACCGCCAACAGTGGCACTGAGATGTTGTTGCCTGTCCACTCTAATCTTCTTTTATTTTGCATATGCTTAGGCCATTTCTTAGCTGTGAGCATCCTTTCCAAGGAGACTAACTCCTTAGGAGACAGTATCTTTAGACAGCACACATACTGTGCAGTATCACCAAAGTGCAACCTCCTCAAGCCATGCTAAAATATAATGCTAGCTCTGGAGAGAAGGCAATATAACAGCCTCACATCTCTCTGAGGTAATATAATGCTGTTTCTTAGCTGACAACATATGGGACACCTGAGGGAAGATCATTATGGCTTCAGAGTCTAGTTTTAAACTCCTGACGCAAGAATCTGCAACATGGTCTGCTGAGAAATAGGGTGAGCACCTCTTCCAACTATGACTGCCAGGGGCCCAACTGCAGGAGAACCTGATTCTACCTTCACTGCGAAGGCACAGAATGTAATTCTGTTCTTTTACAAATTGAAGGGCTAGGAAGAGGAGAGGTAAATCAAAGATTACAAAAGACTGTAGTCTTTGCATTATTTATTAGGCAGGAGGTAAGCAGTGACTGTGGTATAGGAAAGTTATAAAGTTAGCATTCTGGAATAAAGGCATGAAGAATGGCTGGCTGAAGGAAGACATTTTAGCGTCTAAGAGCAAAGCTTTAAAAGTCTTGGGATATTACTCTTAATTATTATTATCTACAAGTTATTTTCTCTATATATACTTTTTTTTCTTTCTAAATTAAGAAAATAAACATTTATAACAAGTCACTGGGTCAAATCTTGCTCTCCACTGAAGCCAAATCCATTGACTTCAATGGGAGGGAATCCTGTGTAAACAATGAAGGGCAAATTTGGCCCTTTATGTCCTGAAAATTTTGCTTGTATCCATTTCTTGCAATCCTGCAAAGCAATACAGGTTGACTGGTCATAATTCTCTTGAATTAACAGGGGAGCATGAACAAAATGCAGTATGGGAGAAAAAGAAGGCAATACCGGTTGACTGGTCATAATTCTTATGAAATTCTCTTGAATTAACAGGGGAGTATCAACAAAATGCAGTATGGGAGAAAAAGAAAAGGAACAGAAACGTAAGAACTGCTTTGAAGAGAGAATTTTATCTATGTTTCAGAGCAAAATCACAAAAAGAGAATGGATAAGGATCAAATGTCACTGGCCCTTTACTTTCTAGGCAACCACCAAACCATAGTCTCAGTGAAACGCAGTAGACGACTACAGAAAATAGAAGTAACCAAATATTCCTTCTCCTTTGCAAACACTGGTGAACATCCCTTTGGGTCCTCAGCTAACTCCAGCTGTCTGCACAGTGTAGTGTCAGCCACTGAAAACACAAAACGTGTCTACGGTGCAGATGAATAAAACCTGTGGCATCTTACAAAAGTAGCTTAATGTTTCGAATGCAAAAACACTACGTTCTTTTAGACACAGAACAATACAATTTTGGATGCATTTACCACTTTTATTTCACTATGCAGAAACATACATTCACCATGTGTTGTGATGCAGCTGACAGTGTAATGGACTCTATTCCTTCAGTGTGTATTATAGCTGAACACAAATGAGTTTTCAGTGGATGCTCTGTACAGGTTAAGGCTTGATTCTCAACTAGATAGTAAATGCTGACCAGATTCTCCAACATATTTTTTTCTCCTCTGAGAACAAAAGGGAAATCAATAGAAAACCATCATGGTTATTTCAGATTAATAATTTTCTAATGCTGCAAACTAAGTAAAATACAGATTTTCTCCAAAATAACTACATATAATTTACAAGGTTAGGATCTGTGAAGGGTGACTGGAAGCTGACTCTGAACAATGCTGACAAAAATTGTTAAAGTTAATATACTAAAATCATTACTACCTCATAAGGTATTCAGTCAGGTATACAAAGCACACTTTGTAAGCCTTTAAATATTTTGATAGGAGTAAAGATTCATCATTGTTTATCGGACAGTAATAAAACCAGATGAAACAAATATAGGATTCAAGTTGTTTACTGAATAAACTGTGTTATTGGCACATCTAATGTGTGGTAAAACATTATACACAGTAGCTATACAGCTTCTAGCATTTTGGGGTAATTTTCATTTACAGTATCTGTAAACATAAGGCTTGCCACCTAACAAATTTTAATTTGTTTAGACTTTCATAAACTGTGAAAGGCATGAATTGTTTATGTGTTATATGAAATCACTGTTTATATTGTTTATGAACGTGCAGGTATAGCTGAAAACTTAGACATTTTAAGAAAATTAAAAATGCTGCTTTTTTGTAATTTTATTGTTGCTTCATGCAATATTGTTTAACTGATGCTGATTCAGATTGCTCTCTATGGGAAGATATCTCTGCCAGTTTCTTTATTAACGGTCAAAATCAATTCTTCTGTACTGAAATTTTCCACAGACAGATACAAGTCAGTCAGGTTGGAACTGAGACTCCATATAGGCTCTCGTATTCCTACTGGTGTGCATGTCTGGATTCATATGCAATCTAAATTATTCCTGCAGGAAAGAGAATTGAGTTAATCATTTGACACAACTACTTCCTGGCAAAAGAGATCAAACAGTCCGTGCAACAAAAAGTATTTAGTAACTGCCATATTCCAGTGTAAGTAACTGTTGGCTTAAGCCCAAAGTCCACTGAAGCCAATGGAAAGTATTAGTGACATCAACAGACTTTAAACCAAGCCACATTACATTGTCTCTGAAATAATTAGCAGAATACCAGAAGAATCATAGCTACTCACTCCTCAGTGATTGGTTCCATCTTCCAAAATAAATAAGAGATACTGAAATTCAGTTTTCTTTAGGTCTCTATATCCAAAAGCAGGAGAGTAAAATAGTTTCAAAAGGTGTGGTGCATCATACTCTCTTACTTACACCAAATGCTAGGGAATACATATTATTTTAAGAATAAAATGCTGCTATAGATTCAAACAAATTAGACAAGCAGCTTTTTTTCTTCCTTCTGCATACAGCATTCAAAGCAATCTGTGCAACGGTGCTGGCATTAACAGCTTTTGCATAGCAGGTTAGTATGCATGACATGTTTCTGCACATGGAATACCATAATATTAAGATGTCTGTTTAGCCAACCACAGTTGGAAAGCATGCCTTTACTGGAAAAAAACTCGACACAAGAAAGCTCAACACAAGCTGCATTATCATCTCATCCTGATAAACAATGCTGCTTTACAACATAAAATGTCCTTTCAAACACAAGAAAGCCAAGACACCCAAATACTAACACATCAATTCACTTGCTTTAAAACAAAAGTCAAAAGCAAATTGGACCACATCTCTGCAAGTTGGGAATTAAAGCTTAGCTTGTAACATATCTGCACTGAACAATTAAAAAGCAACTATAGGTATTTCCTTTGGCATTTTAAAACAAAATGCACACCTTTAAGAACAAAGTACTTTTGTTCTTAAATGACATATAAGCAGACAAGAGATTTTTTTTGACTTTGGGACTAGAAATTAGACTGTAACAAAGCATGGACAATGAGGAATTTCCAGAGAGCCAACAAAAGCGGATGAGCAGTTTCCATTTCTCCAACTGGCATCATTAAATAACAGGACTCATACCCAGCAGAAATGTAAGCTGGAAATGCCAGTGAGAGAAAGCAAAGAGTTAGAGGTGAGTTATGGTAGGAAAATGACCTTTGCAACATGCCAGCTCAGTAAATGCCTAAGAAAATCATCTAGTCCTCTTACCTGTGGTCAATCCTCCCCATCTTCTGGTGTGATTTCTGTTTCTTTATGTACCACTACTTTGGTCACTGACATGTCAGGGTGCTGCTCTTTGGCTTCTTTAATTGCCTGAGCCAGCGCCTATCCCAAGGAAACCACAAAAGGGCAAAAACAAAAAGGAGGTGGAACATGCATGATCAGTAGCAAGGTGGAAAGATTCATGAGATATTACACAATTTACAAATGAGGAAAATGATTAAAATATAAAATATACCATCACTGACTTAAATACCAATCCAATTTAACTAAAGGCATGCCAGTATGAAGAGTATTGCTTAAGGCAACGTTTAGAAATGTTCTCTTTGGAAAAGTCTTCAGGGTAGCCTTTAGCAGCTTGCAGATTTTACCTGATCATGATCAATATCTGCATCTCCTGTGATGACTATCCGTTTTTCAATTCTTGTCTCTGAGATGCCTCCTTTCACAGTCTAAATGGGAAGGACAAACACATGTCAATAACTTACTTCAAAACGTGCCACTACCCATGCAGAGAGTGGTCAGCTCAGGAACTCAAACCTATGGAGAAGACAATCTCCATCACAGCCATCTCAAACGGAGCGCACAGCAGCAGCAACCGCAAGCACCCACCACAGGCAGCTCTGAAGGTGGCTTGTTGTGAACAGGAATTGGACTACAGGTTCTTTCTGACCTAGATTATTTTATGATTCTCATAAACCTGCACATGTATCAGAAGAGATGCTTGTATATGATGGGTTAAAATTGACAGGCATTAATGGTAAATTCATCCTATAAGGAAAAGGATGGACAAAAGTCCACACAGATGGCTCCTATTAAGACCCAGTTAAGTCCTACCACAGGCTTCAGAAGGACATGGAGTGCCGTGGGGGCTTTACATAGAACATCTATCAATGGCAAATTTCATTCCAGATGATCCTCAGTGAATACTGGCAGGACAACTGTCACTATACTAAAAGGATTTGTGTTTAGGGAGGAAGGGAAAAACTGTTATTTAGATGCTATCCTGGAATTCGAAACACCCCAAACCACTTGTCTCTTCTGCCATAAGTTTTTCATCTGACTGTGGACAAGTTGCCTAGGGTAGAGTAACACCGCAATGCAACAGCAGTATCTGAGCTAACTGAACATCCTGTTATGACTATGTCACACCCATTTAGTTTATAATTTCAACATTCTGCAGAGGTAATACCTGAGGAGCCAAAAGCAGGGTAGTACAGCCACTATGCCTTCACACTCAGGCATATTACTCCTTCCCAAGTGCCACCTGATGACAATGTGATTAACTCAAGTGCAGTATTTTGTGCCTGTGTAGATCCTAACGATTTATGGCTTTCAGCACTATTGTCAAGTCCTTGCATACCATGTTAATGAAGATGGTATACCCAAAGACAGGTGAACGAAGACAGGCAGCCAAAATGGACTGGATGTTGTCCAGAGAATATAAGCATTCTCATGTTTTAAAATAAATAATACAATTAAAGTTCTGAAAGCATACATCCTCGTTAAAGAAATGGTGCCTATTTTCTGAGGACTCACTTTGGTGATATGTGTAGTGGTTGTAGTGCTGGTAGTTTCAGATGTGATAGTTTGTGCACTCATCAATACACCTGGTTCTGAGTCAGCACCACTGTCCACCTAGAGAACCAAAACAGAAAAACATTAACCATAAACAAGCTCCTGAGCACTGGGAGACAATAACTGGATTGGCTGAACTCTATTTGTACAATTTTTCATAAAGGGAATACATAATGATAAGAAAATAATTGCTTTTAGGGTAATCATGTGTAAGTAAGACTCCATTCTGAACAGATAGGAAGTTTAGACTTTTGAAACATGTATTTACAACAATGTTTTCTAAAGGCCC